TTGCATTTAGTCGGGGATTAAGAAGACAAGTGTTTGAAGTATTTAAAACTGACTTTGACAATCATATATGTTTTTAAATTTATTTTTAATTGAATTCAGAGAGGTAGGGAGAAGGAGAGAGAGATAGAAACATTAATGATGAGAGGGAATCATTGATTGCCTCCTGCACATGCTCTACTGGGAATTGAGCCTGCAACCTGGGCATGTGCTCTTGACTGGAATTGAACCTGAGACCTTTCAGTCCACAGGCCGAGGCTCTATCAACTGAGCCAAACCAACTAGGGCTGGTCATATATTTTTATAATGCCTGAAATCTTTTATAATACATTAAATAAAAATTAAGTACTTGATTGGTTATAGTAGCTAATGTGGCTCAAGGTTTTATGTTTACAATCCAATAAATTCGTTTTGTTTGGAACAGGCATAATGGAACTCTTGTGTTAAGAGAAGCTTGCCAGACAGGGTGAGATCCTAGCCCTAAAGCATCTGGGTTTATCAAATAGTTGTCAAATTTTTTAGGCACTGGAATGGAGTTATACTTTTGTTGGTAATGGGCTCTGATGTTCTTTGTTGGAGTCTGGCAAATAGCTGTGGTAAACAAGACTCCTAGGAAGTGTGGAAATGAAACCTAAGGAATAATTAGTTACCTGGAATGCACCTGTTACATCTCTTGCACTATACTTAGACTATAATGAAGCTAATGTCTATTGAGTGAAATTTATATGCCAGGCATTCTGCACATCTTATCTTTTCAATTCTAGATTTTGGTGTATTATCTATTATACCCATTTTACAAAATGAGGCAACTATGGCTCATGTCTATTTTGCAAAAGAGATGGACATTAACTTACTTGTTTAAGGTCACAGTGCAGAAGTTTCAAACCCAAGTTGTCTGACTCTAGAGCTTATGCTCTTGGTTTGCTTGCTGTACTATTTTACCTTAAATCTGAAGCTTTTTTGGGAGATAAGAAGTTAGGAACCTTATTTCTGAGACATTCCTTGGGCATATCTCTTTGAAGAATAAGAATATGGTCCTGACCTAGTTAAAAGTCAGAGACAGATAGGGAAGTTTTTATTACTTGGAAATGCCCAACTAGATGACCTCACAAAACTGTGCAAATAAGTTAACTCTTTATGTCTCTTTGTTGAATGAACAATTTTCACTTATATTTTTTCTTACTTTTTGAAGACTAAGTGACCCTTTGAAATGAAATGTGTTTGAAAAATATTAACACAGCAGAATGTTCACAGATATACTGTATATAGCTAGTGGTTAGTAAATTAAAACAAATTTTAAGTGTACTGAAGATCTTACAATTTGTAGAGTAAAGCAGTGGCCTTTATTTCTCCTCATTTTGAATATCTATGTATATTCATACAAGAGCAATTTTGAGGAATGAAATGATAAGTTCAGTTTGAACATGTTTTAGACACATAACTTTGAAGGAACACTGAGGTGAATTTATCTAATATACCACTCAGTGAGTGGATTTTGAGATCAGGAGCTGAACTTGAGATGGAATTTTGTATTTTCTCCATTTTATATCTGTATTTATGTAAAAATCTGTGTTCTAAACTACTAACCATAACATATTTGGGTAGATTTAGAGGCAAGACTTTATAATGTAGTCATGGACAGAGTCCTGATTTAGGGGATAAGGGTTCTAGTTGTAGTTCTGTTGTGCTTTCAAAGTGGGACTTTGGGCACAGAGACTCAGTTTACTTATGAAAACTTGAATTATTGATCTAGATTTTCACTCTTATCTATTACCAAAAACATTTTAATACATGGGGCCTTTGTTATTTAAGTACCTGTAATATGTATAAATGATACCTCTGGTGATACCTTTGGTGTAGGTTAAATAATTATTCAGAGAAGAGGAAGAGCAAAAAGGGGAGTGAAAAAATGGAATCAAAGACCTAATCCAATAAAATAGTTGAAGAACTTTACTGACACATTTTCCGTTTATAACTTTCATATTTAAACTACAGGCCTGGTGCATGAAATTTGTGCATGGGCGGAGGAGTGTCCTTCAGCCTAGCCTGCACTCTCTCGCAATCCTGGACCCCTCAGAAGATGTCTGACTGCTGGGCTAGGCCAGATCTCACAGGGATCCTTACGGGATATGGCCTAAACTGGCAGTGACTAGACATCCCTCTCGCAATCCGGGACTGCTGGCTGATAGCCCCTAACTGCCTCTGCCTCTGCCTCCTTCTGGAAGGATGGCCAGAATGACATCTGGAAGATTGTTTGGCTGTTCAGTTAGCCTTTTACACTTTTATTATTATAGATGAACAAAAGCTGCTGACCAGAGTAAAAGTGTCTCTATCCTAACATGGCTTAATGAAAATGGGCAGTTCATTTCAATTTTAGTTTATTTCTGTCCATTGTTATTGTGTACTATAAGGTGTATGTTGAGTGCTTATCTTTATTTTAGAGATTTTTAGAAACATTAAAGCATAGTAGCAGTATGGAAGTACTAGTAAGAAAAAGTATGTATTGCAGTGGAAAAGAAAGTGAAACTTAACTTTACATAGGTGTGTTCATATTGGTCATTGGTACAGTGTCACTTTGTATTTATGAACAAATGCATTTTGGAATAGATTTTGGAATTTAACCTTTTACAGAGAAACATTTTTATTAGGATAATGGTTTCTTTATTATTAAAAGTACTGCAGTCATTGTTTATAATGAAAATATATAGAAATAGTTTAAATATCTAATGATTGATTTATAAAACAGTATCTGTCATTAATATAATTCTGCTATTACTATGGGCACACAATTTGGTAGGTACAGGAAAAATTTTAGACAACGCTTACTTACCCAAAGAATCAAGAGAAATTTTTCTTTAATTTTCTTGGTTCCTGGCACATTGTTTTGCAAATAGTAGGCACTGGAACATTTATTCAGTTTAGTTAGGAGGACATAATTTTCAAATGTAAAACAATGTATAGTTAATTTAACTTTGTGGCATAGTCAGTAAGTGCTTATTAAAGGTCCATATCAGTCAAGACACAGAGGTTAGGAAGCTTTGTGAAAGAAATGGTATTTCAGTTGAGAAGAATGGAAAAGGTTTGAATGGGTGCTGAGAAATGGGATAGGTGTTCCTGGAATGGGAATATCAGAAGTTGAGAAGGGAGGCAAGAAATACAGTAGTTTCTGTGGAGGACCATTGGGAGGGGCAAGCCTAGGACAGAGGAATTGGGTCGGTGATAATTTAAAGGAAAAGATTATAAGTAATGTTTGTCTAAGATCATATGTTAGTGTATTTGTGTATGTCTGTCTATGATCAATTTAGGTCAAAGTGCTTTTTTTTTCTCTTTTAGATATAGTGCATTGTTAAAAAACTACCTGAATGTGCTAAGAATACCTAATGTTGGAGTTAATTCATTATTAAAAGGTGTGGGATGGGTGAATGTGGGAAACTGCTAGGTTAAAAGTCAGTTTAAGTCTGTAGAAATAGCACCTGAATTGAATTATTAACCCTTATTTTATTTTAATAACTCGTTAGGGACTACACAGTAATCTATGATAACCTCTAGAGTCCAGAATATATAGGGAATTGGCTTTTCTGAATAAGGAAACTGAATGCATGATTTGGCTAGCATGTTCTAGCTGGATTTAAGTTTTCAGGGAAACACATTCAGCAACTCAGTTTCATTCTTGAACTTGTCTCTTTAAAATTAAATTGTAAATAAATGCTGTTTCAAAGAATTAGATGCTATTTAATGTGATATATTTTTATATCTTTGTCTTTTCATTTTCATTTATGGCTATAAGCATATGATACAATATCTAATAAAATTAAAATAAACTTTTAAATTAAACTTTTTAAGTTAAAATTTTCCTTTTACTTTTGTTAGTAGTGATAATTTTTTTAAAAACAGGCAAACATCTTTGGACAGTATTTTTAAAGCATTTCTCCCTCCACTGTGAAATTGTTTTCACTCTTAAGTTGTGCTTCTGTTTTTCTACTATTGTAAAGTGCAGTTCTTTGCATGTTCTAATTTGCCATGACGTGGTCAAGTGCTGTTTCCTTCCTGTTGCTTGCAAGCCTGTGCTAGAGATAAGGATACATTTCAGTGCATTCAAAAAGAAGCCACTGAAGACAGGCTTTTAAGCATGGTAAAGCATTCTACTTATCAGAAACTTTTTTAAAGAACAGAGAGTGGGTTTTAATTTCTGCTTATTTTTTAAAAGCTCTTAAAATAGTATTTACTAAACTTTAAAGGTATTAGACAGATTTTTAAATCCTTATATATTAGATCTAATAGAGATACGTCTGAATGTTTCTATTAAGGCAAAAATAATACATTATAAAATTACTCATGGAGTAGCATTTCCAGTGTATGTGGTTTGCTGAGTTAGTGAAAAGAAGAAAATTGTTTATATGCTCTTTATTGTAATTATAAACCTAGCTGTTGCTAGGTGGAGATATATATATATATATATATATATATATATATATATATATATATATATATATATATTACTTTAACTGGAGGTTAGAGAGAAAGGCTTTATTTTCAGTTATGAGTTGATTTTATTTTAGCAGAAATGGAATCTTCAAAGAAATTATTTACCTAACTTAAAAAAAAAAGTGTGCTCATGTTGTTTTTATTTAAAAATATTAACAAAAATACTTTGGAGACACTGCCCTTGGTATCATTTGTTATATTCTAAGTGGGTATGATTTTGTAACTAACTTAAACTTTTGTTTTTCAGGCCAAGAAGTTCTGGAGAAGAAAAATTTCAGAAAAATTGCCTCAGTTTGAATAGCATATCAGAAAATTTGAAACACTTTTCCTAAAGAAACCAAGAAAATTTGAAGCTCCTTTCCTAAAGAAAACCTGTGTATACTGTAACTTCACAGACTTAGTTTTTTTGTTTTTTGGTGTTTGTTTTTTTTTTACTCAAATTGTCACTGGATTTTGCTGCCTGATACTTGAACCTGTTTGGAAGTTTTCTAATGTGCATCTAAGGGGAATGCTTTATTATGGCTGCTGTTGTCCAACAGAACGACCTGGTATTTGAGTTTGCTAGTAACGTCATGGAGGATGAACAACAGGTATGAGACCCAGAAAAAATTTGGATTTTAATAAATTTATTGTTGTGATTTCTTCATTTGTATCAGAAATTATTTACTTTAAATGAGAGTATGAAAAACTTTATTAATATAGAAATCTAGATATTAAAAATATGGAAGTAATTGTGATCTTATATTTTAAGTACTGGTTAATTCGTTAAAGAATCTTAACCTTAACTGTTATATGGTAACAAGGGAAGTATTACTTTTGGAGTTAAGCTTGTTTTTTTTGTAAAATGAGATTTAAATACCTTAAGTAATTATTTGAAAAGTTCTAGAAGACATGTTAACAAAAACATGTAAAATATTTAATAGTACATGATGTAATAGTTGCTTGCAGTTATGTAATTTTAATGTATATGGTTAATTAATATTATAACCCTAGGCTACTTTTTCAAGCTGATGAAAAGATGTTAGCAGTTCTATAATCATATGTCATTTCAATCCAAAGCATGTGTCTCTGAGGAAGTTACTTTATTTCTCTAGATCTAGATTTCATCATCTTTTGAGTGAAGGGATTAAACTGAAGAATTTCTAAATTGGTTCTTATTGAATTTATACAAGATGTACAATGTACTGTTTCTTGAATGTAAGAAGGAACCAGAAGATATTAAGAAAATGATCTAAGTTAATTCTAGCCTTCCTATTTTGGGTGGGGATAGGTTAGGGGTTCTTGGGACTTCATAATTTACTTCATTTTAAACAGGTTATATGGCTATGATGTGGGAGAAATGGTGTAAGAGAGACTCAGTGTACTGGGGGAAATATTTTGAGGACTGGTAGGTGTAAAATATGCCCAATAAAGTTGGTTTATATACTGAAATAAACCTAATTTCAATTATCTAACTTTAATAGATCAATTATAATATATCATGTTTTTATTCTGGAAGTAGAGTTACTACAGGTAACAAAATAAATTTCCACTTTTGGCAGGACATTATACTTTCTTAGCTGATTGATTGTATTGTGTATTGAAATGACAGAATTCTAAAAATTATAAATAAACCTACAAAAGATCAGAATTTGGATTAAGGTACCTTAAAATCAAGATGAATTTAGGGTAGGGCAGCAAAATGTTTGAGGGAGAGGATTGATTGGTCCCAATTAAAAATAAATTAATAGTTGCCCTAGCCAGTTTTACTCAGTGGATAGTGTGTCGACCTGCATATGAAAGGGTCCCAGGTTCGATTCTGGTCAAGGGCACATGCCCAGGTTGTGGGCTCAATCCCCAGTAGGGGGCATGCAGGAGACAGCCAATCAGTGATTCTCTCTCATCATTGATTTTTCTATCTCTCCCTCCCTCTTTCTCTCTAAAATCAATAAAAGTATATTTTAAAACATTAATAGTTATCTGGATTTAATATAGAGATAATAGAAAATATATTTTAGGAAGAGAAAGTGTTTTGAATTTGCTTTAAAGCAGGACATTTTTGTGTATGCTAAGATTTGAAAATAGTGTTTACTGTGCAGCCCTATTCGATGAAAGATCCCAGACTTGATGTGGTGAGGTTTGTTCTCGGGATGTGGTTGCAGATGATAAAGCTTTAGCCACTCACTGATGTGCTTCAATGCAGTAGCGTTGACACACTTTTGACTATGAGAAACATATTTTATATTATGGTACAGTATTCATACATGTAGCTACATAGCCTTAAAATACTATTTCCTCTTATGTATGGTGCACTTTAGTTTATCTTGGAGAGGTTACTAATGTCTTTGGATCAGGAGATAGTGCTTTTAGCTAAACATCTGAGTGCACATTTCTAAAGTTATTTATTTTTACCTATCAAAAGGAATATATATTAGTTTTGTGCAAGTATTATTACAAGGACTTGACAAATATTTTAATCATATACGGCAAATGTTATTATCTGTTTATTATAATGAGGAATCGAGACATGGAGAGAGGTTCAGAGTCTTGCCTAAAGCCATACAGCTAGTAAATAGTGGCGCTTCATTTGAACCCCAGCAGTTTGACTCTCACTAAGGATATTGAACACTGTTGCAATGATATATGCCAATCTTATTGTATTATAATCAGTGTACAATGTTTGGAACAATTAGCACAGATTTAGAGTTCTTTAATCTATGGCACAGTAAACTTAACTGATTCACATGAGGGTAGATCTAGCAATGTCAATCTTATTAGCATCTTATCTAACTGGTGCTTCTACTAGCTTGTTTATTCACTTGTTAAATTTGTTTTTAATTAAATAAATAGTACAATGCCAATTATAAAACAAAGTCACCTAATATGAAAATATGTAAAATAGTGCAAGTCTTACTTCCTTCTCATTCCTTAATTTGATTCAAAGATATTAGTATTTGCTATTTGATGTTTAATTTTTCTAGACAAAGGCCTAAAGGAAAGAATACTATGTGTATATACAAACCCACACCCAGAAGTTGTTTTTAAAATAGAAATGAAAGTATGTGAAGCCATTTTTGTGACTTGTTTGTTTGTACTTAATGTATCATTTATTTTTCACATACCAGTTTCTAATCATGTACAATTGGCTATTAACAGTACTGTATTTTGCTATTGTAAACAATCTATACTAAGGATAGAGGAATATGCAAATTGTCCGGGACTTTGTCACAGTAACAACTGAAAACAGCAGGCTGCGTGGGGTGACCAGGCCAGCAGAGGGGGGCAGTTGGGGACCACCAGGCTGGCAGGGGGGGCAGTTAGGGGTGATCAGGCTGGCGGGAGTGGGGGGGGGCACAGTTAGGGGTTATCAGGTACGCAAGTGAGAAATTAGGAGCCAGCAGTCCCGTATTGTGAGAGGGATGTCTGACGGCTGGTTAAGGCCTGATCGTGGGTACATCCTGGCGTCAGATATCCCCTGAGGCATCCCGGATTGGAGAGGGTGTGGACTGGACTGAGGGGACCTCTTCCAATGCCCGAATTTTGTGCACCATGCCTTTAATATTAAAATAAACATCTTAGTTTGGCTGCTGTTCAAATCTCAGATTTTGCAGCCAGAACACCTAGGTCTGAATCCTTGTGCCACCTCTATGACCTTAAGTAAGTTCCTGAACCTCTCTGGTCCTTGGTTTCCTTATCTACAAATGAAGATGATAATAACAGACCTAATATTATAAGGTTGTTATGAGCATGAAGTGAATTGATGTATGTAAACCATGTTTGGCACATAGCTAATATTTACCCAGTACTATCATTTTTTATTGCAACTTTATGTATGTATGTATAATCATATCCTTCCTATATAATAAAAGCCTAATATGCAACTTGTCCCCTCAACCTGGAGTTTAACCACTTGCTATGACATGCACTGACACCCAGGGGGCAGCGCGGAACATGGAGGGTGTCAGCAATGCAGCACTGAGAGTGGGCGGCAGTGGAGGCACTGCCAGCCCCAATGGGCCCTGATGAGAATGGGACTGCAGTGGGATGTTGGAGAGGTGAATGGGTGGTGCCACGCCAAGGCAGGTGTGAGCAGGAGCCCAATCGCCCCGCAGACAGTGACCAGCGGTGGCAGGGGCGGGGGAGTCGGGGAAGTTGGGACTGCCGCTTGGCTCCCAGGTGGGGGACCCGGCTCCAACTGATTGCGCCACAGACGGCGACCAGTGGTCAGCAGGCCCTGATTGCCTGATTGGGGCCAGGCCCCAGGCTGGGTCGGAGAACTAAGGGGGTGGGTGACAGTGACCAACTCCCGTGGTGCCCAAGTGGGGCTGTAACCTCTTGCTGGCTACCTGGAGGCAGGGGTGATGGGTATACAGGTGCAGTGGGAATTTGGGGAGTCTGCCAAGCTTGCTCTCACTCTTCCTTCTACCCTCCCCCGGTACACCAGGGCTCGCGTGCCAAGAAGCCCCTGTGCTCAGGTGCTGGGCACCCACGAGGCGCCCACCTCACACCCGCGTGGCCTCTTCCAGGTGAGCCAGGCTGCAGCCTTTGGGACCACAGGGTCCAGTTGGGCTCCCATGGGTTTGTGAAGGAGCTGGTCTGTGAGGCTGACCAGGAGAGAGTGCACTGCCCGCCTGGATTCTGTGTGGCACTGCTAGGCAGCCCAGTGGCCCACACTGCGCCCCATCCTGCAGCTTCCAGCCATGCTCACCACATCTCCACGTGGGGACTTGGGTGCCGTGGTGCCATGACACAGGTGGAAGGGGGTGTGTGGAGGACTGGGGGTGCAGGAGCTTCCCAGGGCCCAGAGGTCAGCTGGAACCTGCCCTTCCTCACCAGACACTTGTGATTCAGTTGCCAGCCAGGCCTAGGGATCACACTGTGCACCAATTTCATGCACTGGGCCTCTAGTAATAGTATAAAGTTATTGCAATACTTGTATGATTGTTTCTATAGGATTTCTAAAAGTAGATGTACTAAGTTTACTAAAAGCATAAACATATTATCAAATCATTCTTTCAAAAGGCTATATCAGTTTCTACTACCACCAATAGTATATTTCCTAAAGCATCACTATCAGAAATTTTCTTTTTGGTCAGTCTTTTTTGTTGATAATTACAGTTTACTATTTTAATTTGCATTTCCTTGAATACTAGCACAGAGATTGTTGAATTGTTAATTATAAATACCTTTCATTTAAGTTTCTTTCAAATTACTTACTAATATCATTTTGCCTGATAATTTTTTATTTATTATGGCTATTATATCAGTATCATTGTCTTCTAACTAAATTATTATACAGGCAATGATTTACTCTTTTTGTGACATGAGTCTGATATTTTGTCCCTACCTTATTTTAACATATCTTTTTCCCTATAGAAATTTTAAATATTTATGGTATAAAATTTACCATTTTTTATGTCTATTAAGCTTTCCTCACCCTTAAAATTATTAGATAGTCTCTTAATATTTTCTTCTAGTATATCTTATGTGTTTTATTTTCAGTTCAAATGAAATCTACTTCTACAGAATATTAGAAGCCCAGTGTATGAAATTCATGCATGAGTAGGGTCCCTAGGCCTGGCTGGTAATCAGGGACAGCTGGGGCCTCCCT